CCAGGCAGCGCCTCTGGCGGGGATCCAGCGCAGATCCAAGAAATCTTCGCGGGATGCCAGAAGTGTATGTTTATGGCGTTTTCTCTTTTTCTATAAAGTGCCTTGGCATTGCTCGGACGTGCGCAGTTTTTCTCGGCATGGACCATCGAGAAGCATGTTGGGTCTTCTTGCGAAGAAATATGCGCACGAAGCCGAAACATGCAGAGGGAATGGACGTCCGAGCGATGGCCAGGTGCAGGGCTCATCTTCTCGGAGGCCTAGAGGTTCAGTGCTCTTTTCGCCGATCCCGATCCCCATCCCGATGCCCACCATCCCACCTTACCTGGTTGGGGATGTCCCTCGAAACCCTAAGGGAAAAGCCTATATCCCCATCTAGGGGTAAGAATCGGCCAGCAGGGCCCAGTTTGCGCCAGTGGGGATAGGGATCGATTAAACGATGTCTTAGAGGTTGACACCAACACCAAGATCTGCGGTGTGCCTCCACCGAGGGAAGATGATCCTGATCTCGGCGATGGTGGTCATACTTGGGCCTCCTAGATGGCCGAGATATGACCACCAACCAACACCGAAGTCGAGGATCATCTTCCCCCGTAGAGGCAACCCCCAGCGTTGGTGATGGTGCCCATGTACAAGCCCCCAACATTTCGATTCCTCCGACTCGACGACAGATTCCGAGTCGGATGTCGGTTTCTCAATAGAAAGGCTTTTTACTAGTCTGCCAGTCTCCTGACCTGGCTGTTGATTTCTGTTGCTTCGATTTGTGCTGACATCCGACTCGTCGATTCGATCCTGGGCCCTCCTGACCCCGAAGACCCTGGTGCCTGTTGATTTCTGTTGCTTCGATCTGTGTCGACCTCCGCCTCGTCGACTCGATCCTGGGCCCTCCCGACCCCGAGAGACCCTGGCGCCTCCTTCTCTGCACCCCTGGGCGGCATCTCGCCCGGGGCCTCGGGCCCCAGGGCTCTCTCTCTCGCGCACAGATGTCGCTGCGGCTCGAGAAGCAGAAGCCTGGCGCACACACGGAGAGAGATGGGGCCCCCGGGGGGCCTTCTCGGCAGCGATGGGCCACGTGCAGCACTCGTGTTGCCTGCACGTCGGCTCTCAGGGAGCGGCACAACCGTGCCGTGCCGTTCTGAGTACGTGCTCCGCGTGCGGGTCGTGTGTTATAAAGGTGCAGCACTTGTTGCCTACACGTCGGATCTCAGGGAACGGCATAACCGTGCCGTGCCGTTTTGAATACATGCTCCGCGTGCGGGTCATGTGTTATAGAGATGCGGGGCTCTGGTATTGGAAACAACGAGGAGGTCGTGCCTAGATTTCTTCATAGATGAACCATGTATTAAAAAACCCATCTCTTTAGAAATCCGATGTCCCCCGTGGGCAGGTCGGCCGCAGACCTCCGACACCTCGGGCCTCTCGGCAGCTCACCGGCCTCGAACCTATCCCTATCCCTGAGATGGACACGCCAGAACGATAGGGACAGGGATATGCGATGAGGCGATGCCCAACACAGGGATGGGGATCTGCTCCACGCTGGTGAGCAGTTGCCCCGACCTTCGGGAGCACGGATGTGCCTCGACAAGCGGCGCCCTCAGGCCTGGTCCTTGGAGGTATTCGCTTGACTCCGCCTCCGCCTCCTCCTCCTCCTCCTCCTCCGCGTCCTCGTCCGCGTGTCTTTCTCGAAGCCACCCAAAAGCATTGGACCGGAAACCAAACGACACCACCCCACCTGCGCTCCATGGCGGGCGCCGTCTGGCCACATACCGCTCGCGAAACGCTGTACTGCCTATGCGGCCACCCTTCCGGGTGAGAAGGAGTTTGTGGGGGGAGAGGGGGGGGGACCAACATTTGATTCAGTCGATCTCACTACCGATCTCACTCAACGGGACATCACGGGACACCACGGGACACCGCGGGACACCTCTCGATCTCACTATCTGTCTCACTGTCGATCTCACTATGGATCTCATTCAACGGGACACCATAGGACACCACGGGACTCCACGCGACGGGACACCTCGGGACACCACATCGATCTCACTACCGATCTCATTATCGATCTCACTATCGATCTCACTCAACGGGACCCCACGGGACACCTGTCGATCTCACTATCGATCTCACTAGCTATCTCACTTTCTGGGACACCACGGGGCATCTCGGGGCACCACATCGATCTCAGTATCGATCTCACTATCGATCTCATTATCGATCTCACTATCGATATCATTCAACGGGACACCACGGGACACCACGGGACACCGCGGGACACCGCGAGCCACCGTTGGACGGGCGGGAGGGGGAGAATCATTTGTCTCGACTTCTCCCTAGCAACGGCGGACACCTCGGGACACCCGCGGGACACCGGCGGGACACCGCGGGGCACCGGCCGCCGGAGGAGTTTGCATTTGGCCCAGCCGCGGCCCAGCCACAGGAGGATTTCGGGACACCGGCGGGACACCGGCGGGACACCGCGGGGCAACGGCCGCTGGAGGAGTTACATTTGGTCCGGCCGCGGCCCAGCCACAGGAGGATTTTCTCTCGCCCGCCCACGCAGCTTCGCCTCGCCCGCACGCACGCACGGCACGCACGACACAAACCCGAAACCGAAATCGATTTCCCGGTAGGGGGGGTCTCCATTTCACGTCGATTTCACCCCCCAACCTCCGACAATATGTTGTGCGATATGTTCGGGCTGGACGTGCGTCTCCAGCAGAGGGACATCTTACAATCAATAGGTTTTCAATAACCCCCAAGACTGTACAACAACTATCGCTAATACAGGGTTGTCAGGGTTCCATGATGTCCAGGAAATGATAATTGGGAAGGATTTACGGCCAGTGCCGCCAACCCTGAAGGGGGACGACGACCACGACGGTAGCGTCTGCGGCGACGACGACCACGACGTGGGGCAGAGTCCTCAGGGATGCTTCGTGGGGCCTCTTCGGAGCGCGCTCGTAGGCCTCTGGAAGGTAGTTTTGAGACCTCTCGGGAGCATCTTGGGGGCCTTTTGGGAACCTCTTGAAGACCCCTTCAGGCTTCCTGGAGGCCTCTTGGGGGCCTCTTAGGGTCTCGTGGGGGCCTCTTGGGGACCTCTTGGGGCCTCCTGGGAGCTTCTTGGGGCCGAGAGCTCGACGACGACGACGACGACGACGACGACGACGACGACTACGACGACGAGGAAGAGGAGGAGGGGGAGTGGGAGGAGGAGGCGCAGGAGGAGGAGGAGGAGGAGGCTCTCTTGGGCCGTCTTTGGAGATTCTTGTAGAATTCTGGGTCCGTTTTGGGGGGACGTTTGTGAGCCTCGGGACCCCAGGACTATGTTATTCTAACTCAGGACACCCCCAGGCCCACTCCAAGACCCCCCCCAGGACCCTCTCCCAGGACCCCCCCCATGACTCCCTCCAGGACCCTCCCAGGGATCGCCCCCACCCTCGGAGGAGGGGGGATCAAAGGGAAGGGACTTCCCTTCGACTCAACTACGACGTTGCTCAACTCCGCTGTGGTTTCGCGTTGGGTAGCTCGCTTGAGGAGGAGAATCCAGCGGAAGGGGGGGGCCGCGAGCGACGGACCAGGGTGAACCGGGGGACGCGCAGAGCTTATTGCCAGCAGGGCTGAAGTCCTGCTGTTACAGTTTGAGGCTCACGCCAAGAAACACCCCGCTTGCCTCCAGGGTGCCCTGGGCTTCCTGGGTTTCGATGGTTTTGCAATGGAAACCGTGACGCTCCCACACCAAAAATCAACGGACGTCCTGGGGTCCCAGGGTCGGGTTTCCCGCGGACGGTTCCTTGTGGGCTGGCCTCCACTGCAATGGGGGGTGACTTTAGATGGTGGGTGAAGGCAACGGCCCTGAGGGGACCGTGCAGGTGCTGGCTCCAAGGGCCCTGAGGTGCCCCTTCAGGGCCCTCAGGAGGGAAAGAAACACACAGACACAATTAATCGGCGATTCCCAGAAAATGTGGGAAGATATGGGCAGTGGGGGGGAAGACAGAAACCCCGAGAATATAGGAAAATATGGGGCATCTTTCTATTTGTGTGCATGTATCTGTGTGTCCCAGGGCCCCCTTCACAGGTCCGGGGCGCGGGGCCGCGCTGGCGCTCGGTGGAGCTGGCCACGGCATGGCACCGGCTGGCGCGGCACGGCCGCGGGCAGGCCAGGCACAAGGACGGGCCATGGCGGCCACGACGAAGGATTGCAAAAAACAAAACAATTTTTCGAAGGATTGCAAAAAAAACAAAACAATTTTTCGAAGGATTGCAAAAAAAAAAAAAAACAATTTGTCGCAGGATTGCAAAACAAGCCTTTTTTGCAATCCTTTTTTGCAATCCTTGTCTGCAGTCCTTTTCTGCAGTCCTTCGACCCGGCGATCCAGCGCATTGGAAAGAGATCAAGACGGTGTCTCTTCGCGCCCTCGTCGGCCTCTATATAGAGGCCCTCGCCAGGCCCCGGGACCCTCAGGCAACGGCTCAGGGTGAAAGGCCATGCCCTCGGGAAAGGCTCGGGACCTCCGGGGATGCCGTCTGGAAACGTTCCCGCCCTCGGACCTCTGGAGTCAGGAGGGGAAAGAACACACAGACACAATTATTCTTCGCTTCCCAGAAAATATGGGAAGATATGGGAAGTGGGGGGGAAGACAAAAACCCTGAAAATATGGGAAAATATGTGGATTTTGATTATTTGTGTGTATTTATTTGTGTGTCCCAGGGCCCCTTCATGGAGGGGAGGGGTCCTCGGAGGAGCGGGCGGTGCCGACAAAGAGACGCCTTCGGAGTTCTGCGCGGCTGCCTCGGGTCGGCCCCCTTGGGCCCGGCGCGCGGAGAGCGCCAGGGTCGGGGCGCCGGAGAGCCGCCGCCCGGAGGGCCCAGCGCAGATCCGAGATGTGTCCGCGCGGAGCACCGAAAGTCCATATGGTTACGGTGGGGTCGTGTCGTGTCGACCGGCGGCGACCCCGCCGCCGGCGTTCAAGGTTGAACGCCGGCGGCGGCCCAGAATCGGTCGATGTTGAACGATTGGACGTTGCGGAAATGGCCGATCGTTCAAGGTCGAACGATCCCCGCGGTGTCAGGAACCAACGCTGGGGTCGGCACGACACGAACCTGCCGTATGCCGTTCCCTGAGATCCGGCTTGGTGACAAGAGCAGCAGCACATGGGAAATCACGGCCAGAGCCCCAGAGTCCATCTCTGCCCTGCATGTTTCGAGCCAGGTCGATCTGTGGGCCCGGAAACTCGGCGAAAACGCCCGGTGTGAAACAGCTGCGACGTTCGGACTTCGGGGCATGCTGGAAGGAGGTGCAGGAGGCGGCCAGCTTTCTCGCGGGTGCGCACCAGGAGTCGTTGCCCCGCGAGTTCCAGCCCAGTGAGGCGGCCATCATGATCTGGGCCTGGGGCAAGTTGCGGTTTCGGCGCGACGCGTTGTTGCATGCCGTGTGTGCTGACATGCCAGAGCAGGTGCCCAGGTTCAAGGCTCGCGACGTCTCCAACATGGTCTATGGACTGGCTCTCTTGGACGTGCAGGTTCTCAGAGAAGGAAAAGGTACACCTGCCGCTACCCTTCCCTCGTTTCCCTCTTTTTGGGCCTCCTGGGAGGCCCTCGTCGCCACTGCTGGATTCGCCTTGCAAGTCTGCGTCAGAACGCACCCCGGGAGAGGGCCGTGTGGTAGCGGTATAGGTACCTTTGAGTATCCCCAGGTTCCCGCCCTCTTTGCGGCGGTGTGTGAGCAAGTCCCTGAGAGACTGATGGAATTCAACAGGCAAGAGTTGACGAATGTTGTCTACGCTTTCGGGCGGTTGCGATTCAGGAGAGACCATTTCTTACAGGCTGCGTGCGAGCGCCTTGCAGCACAGTTTGACAACATGAATGAACAAGAGTTCTCCATAACAATCTACGCCCTGGGACTGCTAGAGTACAGGCAAGACGACTTCTTGACTCCGCTGTGCCAGCATATAGCGCCCCGACTGAACGAGTTCAAGCCCCAGGGATTGTCAAACGTGGTTTACGCCCTGGGTTTGCTGCGCTTCAGGAGCGACCCGCTCCTCGACGCCATGTGCTCTGAGACTGCATCCCGGCTCGGCGATTTCCAGCCTCAGGGCATCTCGCTGATTGTGTACAGCATGGGGCTCGTGGGCTTCCACAGCGGCCCCTTCCTGCAGGCGGCGTGCGACCACGTGGCAGGCCGCAGGGCTGGACCTAAACGGTGTTTTTGGTGTTTTCGTGGGCCGTTTTCGTTTCGACTTCGTTTTGCGATACAGGCGGATTCGAGACAAAAGCGAGGGACAACGAAAACAAAACGAAAACGAAAAACACCGTTTAGGTTCAGTCCTGGCAGGCCAGCTCGAGGATTTCCTCGCGCAGAACATCTCCAATACCCTCTACGGGCTCGCGCTCGTGGGCTTCCGGCACGAGCCCCTGCTCCGCGCCCTGGCGGAGCACGTGCCGGCAAGGCTGCGCGAGTTCAAGCCGCAGGAGCTCTCGAACCTGCTCTACGCCCTCGGCCTGCTGGGCTGCGCAGACGCCAGGCTGCTGCGGGCGCTCTGCGAGCACGCCCCCGCGCGGCTGGGCGAGTTCAGCGAGCAGAACATTCGGGGAAACGTAAGACCCGAGTATGCTGAAACTCGGGTTTGCCCACGCCGTTTGATGAGCACCTCCTTCATTTTGACGGTCCAGTGTTTGTGGGATGTTTCTAGCGGGAGCTCGCGTCAATTTTCTGATGGGGTCTCGTCCTTTTCACGATGGCCCCGCCAGGCCAACTCGAGTCCCCCGAACCCGAGTCGTACGTCTCCCCGAAGCGTCTCCAATTCCGTCTACGCGCTTGGCCTGCTGGGCTTCCGCCACGCAGGCTTCATGCAGGCCGTGTGCGTTCATGTTCCCGACAGGCTGCCACCGAGCTTGTTCCACTACAGTCGGGGCCCTGAAGAAGGAACCCTTTTCGTTGGGGAGGGGCTCCGTGTTCCTTGAGTGTTTCGCAGCTTGCCTCAGGTTTTCCTTGTAACTTATGTTTTCGATCGGAAGTCGAAGTTTAACTTTTGGAAAAAGGGGCTTCGTTCCTTATTTTGGGTTCCTTAGGTCAACGCCCCGGCCGTACTCGCAAAGTGCCTACTCGCAAACGTCCAAAAAACACCCACGCTCGCCTCGATGTAACACATCGCAAGTCTCCCACGGCGGATTCGGGCCGCTTGCGAGCAGTGACTTTGCGAGTAGGAGAGCGCGCCTGCCTAGGCTGTCGGGCTTCTCGGCGCAGGGCATCGCCAACATGCTGCACGCGCTGGGGCTGCTGTACTTCCGCCACGCGGCCTTCCTCGGGGCGGTGTGCGCGCACATCCCCGCCAGGCTCCAGGAGTTCAACGAGCAGGACTCGGAGGAGGGAAAGGCACACTTAAGTCGGGCATGTTCCCCTAAATACGTAGTATGGGGACGATTTGTCGATTTGTTTTGCATCTTTGGAATATGTTTTGTTCACAATTCTTGATTTTTCGTCCACAATCCGCTTGTAGGAGGACAGGCCAGACCTAAATGTACACATTCCGCTACCCTTCCCCCGCGTGTTCCCCTTCTTGGGCCGCTTGGGAGGCCCTCGTCGCCACGGCTGGACTCGCCTCGAAGTCCTGGTCAGAACGCACCCCAGGAGAGGGCCAGGGAGTAGCGGTATTGGTACCTGTTGGTTTCCCCGAGGACGTGTCGAATTCGTTCTTGGCCTTGGCCCGGCTACACTTCCGGCACCAGGGGCTGGTGCGGGCAGTGTGCGACCAGGCCCGCACGAGTCTTGAGGACAAACGGGTCCCGAGGGAATTCGATATCGTTTAAACGATCCCCCATCCCCATCCTCATCCCCTTCGAGACCCCACCAGATTACCACCCCAGTTGGGGACACCCCTCGAAACCCGAAGGGGACGGCCTGTATCCCCATCTAGGGGGGTACATCGGCCAGTGGGGCCCTGGCCACGCCGCTGGGGATGTGGGTCGGATAAGCGATGCTCAGGAACGAGTTCTGAACAAACATTAACTTTCGGAGCTCGGCGTGGACTTCTTGGCTCTGCGTCGGCCCCCCCCCGCTGGAGGCGCCTCTGGCGCCGCCCCTGCGCGCTCCGCGCGCCGGGAGTGGGCCCAGTGCGGGTCCAAGGGATCCGCGCGGACCTCCAATAATGAAATGTAAGTCGGACCTGTCACTCTACAGGAGGAATGTTCAAAACTAGTTAAACAAATATAATGGGGACGGTTTTTTTATGTCCCTCTCTCTATGTTTGGCTGTTTTGGAATTTGTTTTACTATTTTTGAATTGTTCGCCCAACATCCGCCTGTAGGAGGACATGCCCGACCTAAACTTCGCTCATGTTTACGAAGATTTCTGCTCCTAGATGAAGAGCTGGTTCTGTGGAAGGGCCGCGGGTTCAAGCGCCAGTTTCCCTCAGGACCCGCCTCCTTTCTGCCAGCAGGTGCCTAGCAGAGTGAGCGAGTTCAAGCTCCACGGGTTGATGAGCATGATATGTGGCCTCACCTCGATGTGTTGCAGTAGCGTCCGGCTGACTCGGAGCGCGCTGCCCCGACGGGTCGCGCTGCCCCTTGGTTCGGCGGCAGAAAAAAAAGGTTTGGCAGGGGCATGCGAACGAGTCTCGCCCTCCATCAGCCAGGCTCGAGGTACGAGCAGCCCCCTGATAATAAGGAGCATCAGTATAAATTGTCAAAGCTCCGCGCGCATTTCTTGGATCGGCGCTGGACCCCCCATGGCGGCGCCTCCTGCGCCGATGCAAGAAGTCCGAGCGGACCTCCGCAACTGTGAGTTCGTGCAGTGCAGTGGAGGACCATGCCAAGAAACACCCTGCTTGCCTCAAGGGTGCCCTGGGTTCCTTGGGTGTCGATGGCTTTGCCATGGAAGGCGTGCCGCTCCCACACCACAAGTCAGCGGACGTCCTGGGGTCTCAGGGTCGGCTTTTTGTGTGGAAGGCCTCTTGTGAACTGGCCTCCACTGCAGGAGGAGGGGTGAGACGGCGCATGTGCAAGGAAGACGAGCGGGTCGGTGCCCCCGAGCCGTGCGCAGGGGGAGCCGCCCATCGATAGCCAGCTGCCTTCGGCAAGCCCCGCCACCGTGCCTGGGTTGTGGGTCGGGAGCCTAGTGGATGCTCTTTGGTCGAGGTACCCGCAGCCTGCAGAATTACCATCCTGACCCCGAGAGCGGGTCATCAGGAGGGGAAAAAACACGGACACAATTTCATCGTCGATTCCCAGGAGAACATGGGAAAGTATGGGAAGTAGGGGGAAGACGAAAACCCCACAAAATATTGGAACATCTGGGGAGTACTTTTATTTGTGTGTCTTTACTTGTGTGTCCTGGGGCCCCTTTTGGTCAGTGCTCCGCCCCTGCAGGACCGGCCACATCTGCCAGGGTTGCGCACGGCGGGCGGCGCGTGCTCGCTTTGCCTCGCTGCAGGGGCGGCCCGTGCCAAGAAACACCCTGCTTTCCTCCAGGGTGCCCTGGGTTCCTCCTCCTCCTCCCTCCTCCCTCCTCCTCCTTCTCCTCGCTCCTCCTCCTTCTCCTCGCTCCTCCTCCTCCTCCTCCTCCTCCTCCTCCTCCTCCTCCTCCTCCGCTGGCCTCCAGGGTGCCATGGAAAGCGTGACGTTCACACACCAAAAATCGATGGACGTCCTGGGGTCTCAGGAGTGGGTCTTTTGTGGAAGGTTTCTTGTGGTCGAGAGCCCCCACTGTACCCTGATAGGCTATATACTGCACCGCGTCCATTTGGAGCCAGTGCTGAGGAGAGCGCAGCATTCGATCGCAATCGTCTCCGCAAGGTGTCTTGGGATAGATTTTTGCCTGGGCTTCGAATGGGACCGGGTCAAGGATTCCTGTTTTCCTTTGAAGGCGGCCGGGGGGTCGAGCTGGTTGGGCCCAAGAGACCCTGTCAAGAGGAAGAAGGCACAGCCAATCAAAATCGGTCCACGGTGTTCCAGGGGTCCATAATCTCACGTATAGGTTTAGCTTTTGGTGTTTCACCCAGGGGACTGATGGTTAGAGATCCATCTTGTGTGTGTCTGTGTCCGTGCCACATGTGGCTCAGGGCCAAACATTATGTCCCTTCTCTTGCTGCCACAGTTGGTAGCGGAGCGGGGTCCGGCCCGGCGGCCATGGGCGCGAAAGGCTGGCCGTGACGGTCAGGCCGCTTCGCGCTCGCGCGCTCCAGAGCCAGGCTTCGCTCTGACCACTGAGCGGCGTGGGATCCACGGCAGAGACATGCCCGCGGATGGTCAGCAGCAGCAGCAACCGCCGCCAGTCGCCCCAGGAGGCGACGGACGAGATGAGGCCTTCGCCGTCATGGCGGCCCGAGGAGCCGAGGGGTCGATTCCAGGGGCGGCGTCAGGCTCCGCGGCGACGGCGGCGGCGATCGACCAGGACACGCCCACACGGGCAATCGAGTCCGCCGTCCAGGAGACGGTGCGGACGTTCGGCCATTTTGGCCAGCAGCAGCAGCAGCGGCGGCCGCAAAGGGTGTCCTCAACGGCGGCCGACCCCTGGGACGGCACCGGCGCCGACCCATGGAGCAGCAGCGGACACGGACGAGCAGCCGAGGTTCGGGCCGGGCGAAAGGGGGGGATTGGGAAAGGGGGGGGTACGAAATTTGCTGCATGCAGCTGTTTTCGGCCTCACCGAGGGGCCCATTCCTCGATACATGGCCGCCTCCCGGCGCCGGGAGGCGCCGGGAAAATCAGTTCCGTGAGCTGATTCTCAAACCCCCCCTTTGCTATCCCCCCCTTTCGCCCGACCCGAGAGGTGAGCAACGGTGACGCAGCAGGGGAATCAGGACGGTGGCGCTCACCCGGCGACAAGGACGACTCCAAGGACGACCAGAAGTGGGACGAGCACCAGGACTGGGGCTCCGGCTGGAGCAGCAGCTGGTGGCCTGGCCAATGGACTGGAGGTCGAGGAGACTTCACCGACCCTCTGGCGTGGCCGGGCTGGGCCCACTATAGGCAGTGGCGCCGGGCCATCCGGCGCTGGAACGGCAACACCGACGTGGCTGTCTGGAGGCGGTCGGAGAATATCATACGACTCTTCGACTGGACGACGCAGGCCAAGTTCGAGGACATCCCGGACAAGGAGCTTACAGCACCGTCGTGGCTGCAGACGCTCCTCGGTCGCATGGACCTGATGATCGGGGAACGCGAGGGAGACGTGAAGCGGGCGCTGCGCCAGCTCGACTCGCCCGCCGGCACTGAGCGCCTGCTTCCCGGCAAAGCCGGGGCAGGCAGCATGCTGGCGGCAGCGTCTGAGGACCTGGGGCCAGGTGCTATGATGCCAGTGCTTTCCAGTCTTCCTCCCCCCCCACTAACCTCGGTCGGTCTGGGGGTAGGTCGGAGGATGCCAACTACCAGGTCGTCGAGGACGAAGAGGACTACTACGACGAGGGGGCCGACGTGTCAGACGAGCTCGAGGAGGAGGACGCGGCTGCCTTCCTCGCCGAGATCGACGACATGGACATCGAAGAGGACGACGCCGAGCTCGCGCTGGCAGAGCTGACGAACAACAGGTCCTGGAAGCATAACAAGGACCTCAAGCGGGCAGCTCGCCGCGACCGAGAGTACTTCGGCCCCCGAGGCCGAGGCAGCGGCGGAGCTCCTCCTCCTCTCCGGCCAGGCGGCCGAGGTGGGGGCCGACATCCACGAGAACGTAACGAGCGGGGAGGTGGAGCCGGCGGAATCGGACGTAGACCTCCTCCGGGCAGGCGACGCCCCCTCACCCAGGAGCAGCCGATGAAGGTTGCAAGTGCAAGCCGTGCCAGGAGAAGGGTCACTGGGGACGCGAGTGCCCCGACGTCGGCGGCGTCACGAAGGGCGCCGGCAAGCGGGGGGTCTCGGCGAAGAAGCTCCCTGCCGGCAGGCTTCGGCCTACATGTTCGACGGGGTGGCGTTCAGCGGCAACGACCTATGGGCTGCGCGGGCTTGGCGCGGGGTCGAGGAGGAGATCGCCTCGGGCTCGATCTACCTGGCGGCGTCGTCGACCCAGGGCTCGGTCGACCCCAGGGCCGGGACAGACCTAGCGGGCGTGGAGGCTCTCAACCGGGAGTCCGAGGCGAGCTCGCGACACACGGTCTCCGGCACGTCGAGATTCCCGTCGAACATCGGACGCATCTCCGCGGGGCCCTCGGAGTCGGAGGCCAGGCCAAGGTCGTGAGCGCCATTCTTTTTCCGTCGTGTCTAGGCGGTGTTTTCGGCATCATAGACACCATTGTGCTTGGGGAGGCTGCCCCTCGCATCTTGAGCATTAATCTTCTGGGCTTTCTAGAGGGCGTGATCGATTTGCCGAGGAACAAGCTTCGTTCCGGCGCGTTGCGCACGACCGCGGCCATGACGCGCCTGTTTTCTGGGCACAGGATGGTAGAGATCGTGCGCTCCCTCGAAGAGCTGGGGGCTGTCCCATCGTCGGCGCTTCGGCGCTGCCCTTTTCTGACGGAGGAGTCATTCACTTTTGGCAATGAGAGACCTTCGAAGATGCTGGCGGATGGGGCTGTGACGAGATACACGCCTCACCTCCTCACCTCCATCCTCTGGTTTAGAGCTAAGTCGAGAAGTTCGCACCTCCATCTTCACCTCCCCACCTCCTCACCTCCATCCTCTGGTTTAGAAGTCAAGTCGTTCATGTTCCAGGCCAAGGGGGGGCTCGAGCAGGACGTCGAGCAGGGATCCGAGGGAAACAACGCACGTGGGCTACTTGGCCGTCTTAATATTCGCAGCCATGGTCTGCCTATCCCTCGGGCGCTGGGCTCAGCGGGCCCGCCTTGAACAGGTCGCGGGCTCGGGATCTTCGGGGCGCGCCAAGGTCTTGGGCCACAGCGACGAAGGGCGGGGCAGAGGGCTCGACCTCATCGGCAAAGGAGCTCTCGACCTCATCGGCAGCAGGGGCCCGAGGGCTCTCGTGCGTTTACTTTCCGCGGTTGCTTTTGGCTCGAGTTTTCATCCGCGTCTTTCTCCGCATCGACGCCCGAGCCCACGCTCGCAGCCCCCTGCCGGCATCGTCCGGCGCAGCGATGAAGTGCATAGTGATTTTCGCGTGCATCCTGAAGGGGGTCCTCCAGGCACAAGGAGCTCCCCAGTTCCGCGGATCCACTCCTCAGCCGCCTGTCGGAGGCAACAGCAGAGGCGACGACGGCGACGGTCGAGAAGAAGCAGCAAGGGCGACGCTGAGCCG